GGTGTGGATGGTGGTGGCTGTGAGGGCAAGAGTCGGGCTGCTGCTGCTCGGGTCGAATAGCACATCATCCTCATTTTTTCCCCAAAAAAACCTGTGATTGGTGGGCTGTGTATAAGCTTACTGAGCAGGAGTTAGCTGAATTTATGAATTACAACCACAGTATCTTTTTGTTTTGGTTGGGTGTGTGGTTTTTTGTTTTTAAAGAAGGATTTATTTAGGAATTAAGTACGCTGAAATAACAACACTGTGTGCCTACGGGGGAACCACAGCAGAGCTGCCGTAACTCCCGACACAGGTATTTATCCGGCAGCCACAGCCTGACTAGAGCTTTTTTTCTCGCCTCCTGCTAGTTTGCAGTATTTGACACATTTTTTCAATGTCATTTGAGCAATGCAGGAGAAGGAAAATTTACCTGTGACCATCTTTTTGTACTACATGCCTGAATAACGGTTATGTCAAACAAAAATGACTGCTCCCCCTTCCCTAAAATACAAAATTCCCCATTAAGTTTCACATACATGTTAGAGGACTAAGCCATACAGGTTTGGAGCTATTTTATACTTAAAAAATAAAGATACAGCAGTCTAAAATCTTACATCTAAAGGTATAAAGTTATACCTGACATCTTGGATACTGACTAAAATAAAAAGGATTTTCTTCTGCCTCTTTAGTTGAATAGTCAAATAATTGTGGAGATACAAAGTAAGAGGTCTTCCTGTTCAGATGTCTGCTAAAAACTCTACCTTTACTTGCACATAAAAGACAGGGACCTGTAGCACATTAATGTGCTACAAATTGGACATGGACAGACATTGCAATTGTAAGCAATCTGTAAGCAATTTGCTGCAGATCAACAAGTGACTTCTCCTGAGACGTCACTTTTGTGGTTCTAACTTTTCAGCAATATGAAGTGGAATATGGTGGCTTAAACCACCGTGCTGATGGTTAATGACACTTTCCTCAGCTGAAACTGTGCAAAACTCCTTTTTTTTTTTTTTCTTCTTTGGATTAGGAATCAATAGACGTACTTGCAATAAGGCTCTTCAGAAGCAATGCCCAGGTAAAAGCAGTAGGACACTGTACAACCTATGGAAAGGTAAATTAGCATTATCTATAATGTATATCAGTGATCGGTAATACTCGAGATACTCTGCCAGACCAGGCAGTGTTTCTGGGAAGTGCTGTACGCCTGCAATCCCTGCTGAGCTGCACATGTTTGCATGGACTGAGACATGCAGACCTACATAGTTGAGCTTAGATCCGTGGTGTTTTCCCCAAAATAAAACTGATCGTTCCTACTTTCAAAGCCCAAACCAAGGAAAACACATTATAAATACCAGAAAGTTAAATGTACGTTTTTTTCTGTCACTTTTAATTAATTGTAGGCTTCAGATACAGCTGATTTTTCTATGTGGTTATTTTCTTGAAACATTCCTTTTAAATGGTTTGGGGCTATTCTTCAAAATATGGCAATTGTTAAGGAAGAGCAGGCTAGGTTATAAATGGTTTTAGAAACAATACATCAAATTGTAAATTACTTTATTGCTTTAATGTAGAAATAATTGCTGAGTCTGTGGTAACCAGTTAGTGATGGTGAGTTAGTTGTGCATCTCAAATGGTCTGAAATACTTGGAAATTACTGTTCAGTCACAAAGAAAGTTGACCTGTGTGCTGACTTCTTGTTTAGCAGGACTTCAGCGCTGTTGGAACATTCAATTGGTGAAAAATATTTAACCCCTAATGTAATGAAGCTTGCAACTAATATGCCATTAAATCACATGCTGCCTGCTGTTGCCGTTTGCCAGCTGAAACAACAGGCCTTGAGTATTTCAGAATGCTTGTTCAGAACCACGTTCCTCGGGCAGACCACCAAGCCTGGTCTGCTCTTGTTTGGATCCTGTACAAAAGGTGGCAATGGTGAGAATACTTGAAAAGTTGCCTGGGAGATTTTATAGCCATGAAATGCAGCACTACAATGAGCGTATTGCCACCACATGGCTACTTCTGCTACCTGCACCCATGTTTTCTAAGCCAAACCGTACTTTTTGCCCCTGCACTGTGCTGGCATGGAGGTCCCAATGGACAATTTGTCTGGAGCTTAACTTCAAGCGTCCACTCAAAGGGTTTAGGCAGGACAGAAATGGAACATGTGTGCAGGCAGCTTGGCTTGCAAGTGCTTTGCAGGAACATGGAAGTGTTTTCTGGGACTGAGGGGGTCTGGCTTGGGGTATGGGTGATTGGCTTTGGACGTGATGGCCCACTGTGTGATGAGAGGGGCACAATCACTCTTGAGCAGAGTGTTTCGGCACTGGAGGGATGGGTGACTTCTGGGAGCTGAAAAGCTGTGAGGGGGATGCTATGGAAACTTGTCTGGTGCAGGTGAGGAAAGGGTTTCCTTGCAATGTGTGTTCCTTTCCATCCTGCAGGATACCATCAGTCCAAGCCTGTCTCCTGAGCCCACCATCTCCAGCCAACCACAGGCAAACCATTTGCTCCCTGAAAGTCATTTTGCCTTTCCTAATTCTCAGGGAAATCCTCATTGCGCAGGAGGATGAACATCCGTTCTTTGCAAGTATCATCCCAGAATAGCAGCCAGAGCTGCAGAAACAAGACCATCAAAACCTTGCAGTGGATGCTGTCCAGCTGTTTAGAGAGGTGGGTCAAGCAGTACAGTACCACATGGGGGTTGTACATGGAGGAAAAGATGGCTTCTGCATGTAAGGCCTTACACAGGTCACAGTGATTTGGGTACTGATGTACTACTGTCAACTGCAAGCGAGAGGACAGTGTTGGCCTTTCCAGAGTAGGTTGCAGCCAATGAAGTGAAGGTTTGGGGGACACCTTGAACCACGTTTCACAAGGATGTTGTGAAACATCAAAATAGACTCCCCAAGACAGAGATGAGGAGCCTCAGCACTAGACATTTCACTCTGCTGGTCCGTTTCTGTTGCACCAAATTAATTACCAGCATAGACGGTCCAACCACCTTGGGAACTCCAGAACTTCCTGGACTGTGGCATCTTCCTAGTAAGCATGGAAATTGAAGACCTTACTACAAATCTATCTGGAAGCACAGGGATGAGGGATAGTGCAAGTCTGAGGGGGGGGAAAAGCTCATGTTCTCACTATAGGGATCACTGAGAGAGAGAGGAGACTAGCTGCAGCCACCATTGTATCACTTGGTATTTGCTCGCTGTGACTAAAACAATGGAGAACGTGCAGGTAAGCAGTGGAGCTGGGCAGCGCAGGATGCATTGCTGTGTGAAAAGGCAGCTAAAGACCACCAAAATAATTTGGAGCAGATTTGATGACACAAACATTACTGTGACTACCAATTCCAACAGGAGTGAAAACATCAGAGGTGTTCAGCTGTGCTCAAGGATTGTGTTGATATGGTCTGATTCACAGCAGAGTAAACCACCTGCAGAGATAGGTCTTTGGAGGAATGTTTCTTTGCAGTGTAAGAATTGTACTTCCAGGTTCTGTTTTCTATACTTTGACTGCACAATAAATCATTTTTCTTGTTTGCTTAATATTCTTGATAACTAGCAGTTGCTGTGGAGTTACGGTGCACCATGAGCCTTTTCTGCCTGTTTATTAGCCAACTGCAAATACTTGCCCTTAAAATCTCGTGCAAAAACAGCAACCCAAAAGACCAACACGCAGAGCTGAAAATGGTATGTTTTCTCGGGCATTTTTGTAAGACTTCCATCCATTTTTTTAATGACTAATGGTTCAGGCATGCAATGGAGTTATGGAGAGTTAGTTGCTGAATATCAACCAAACTCTGGGAATTATCTTGGTACATTGCCTCAGCCAGGGCAATGTGATACTACCAGGCAGCAGCTCACAGGAAAAGAGGGTTGTGATGCAAAAGAGTGGATTTTTAGGAGTAAAAGTAATTTGTTAGTGAAGTTACCTAGATTGAAAGATCTGTGTGTGGGAAATATGAGGCATTTGTATATCAAAGGTAAAAAAATCACTTGGAAATTGCTATCATGTACAATAGGAAAAAAAATCTTGGAGGACAAAAAGCACATGGACAAGCAAGTATTGCCAAAAGCCAGACAGAGTTTGAGGAAACTGGCCAACAGCAGCAGTTCCCAGTTCATTGGATTTTTGTTTTC